ACTGCAGTTGTTCTCTGTAGCATTCCTGATAACATGGTTCATCAACCCATTCCTCAAAATCACAAATAGGTTCGCCGGGAACCTTGTAAAACTGGTTCATACAGTGCCAGTAGCGGCGTCCAACTTCACCACCGTCCCAACAATTTCGCATCAAACATGCTTTTCCATACTCTCACTTTGGTGGACGAAGAGGTTGAGCCATTTGTGAAATATTTGCTTTTAGTAAAAAAACCTTACTTTTAATGAAATATTTACTTTTAGTAAATTTTGAGCACACAAAATAACTACAATGAGCCCGTTATTTATAGGCGAGACAACACCCACATAATGTAGTGTTTAACCACGCTAAATACATAACGTACTATGTAATGGCGCTATATTTTGCGTGTTAAATATCATGATGTTGACAAGACAACTTTATGTCAGCTGGTCAACTTTTTCAGTTCGACAAGACAACACACACATAACCTAGTGAAAAAATGAAAAAATGAAACTCTTATTCTACGCTCTTCAGACATAATGAAAAAATGCTGGAGAATTTAACAACAATAAACGTTTCAACAAGAGATAAAAAATTTTTTGAATGAATTTCTATACAATCCTAACCTCTTTATATAGGAAATAGCTAGCCGGTTTTTTTTTTATATATATAGCGCCCAAAAAGTGGGCACTATACGCTTTTGAATTATTGAAGTCAGGAATTATTGGTGGGGCCAGGAAAAAGGTGTATAGCGCCCAAATACTGGACGCTAAACATAAAGTTTTATGTATAGCGTCCAGTATTTGGGTGCTATAACTGGGCGTGGCAGCTTTTTATATATAGCGCCCAAATACTCGGCACTATACATTAACGACACAGTTAACGTTAATGTATAGCGCCCAGTATTTNAGTTAACGTTAATGTATAGCGCCCAGTATTTGGGCGCTATATATAAAAATGTCATCTTTTTTTTTTATACCTATTAAGGTGCTACTTGTCCAAAAGAACCACATTTTGGTTCCGGACTCATCAAATTGCAGCCAAGATTTAAATTTAATAGGTTTAAGTTTTTAAGTTCTTTAAAGATGTGGTTCAATACTTGTACTTTAAAAAATGGATAATCTTCTGTTTCTGTTCATAATAAATTGGGAGCCATTTCGGTACTTGTCTTAGTAGGAGTACTTAAAAATTGGATACTTGTACTTAACCAATCTATGAGACTATTGTCTTCGGTACTTGAGCCTGTTTGGTGAAGCTTCTTGGAGGCTAAAAAAGTACTTTTTGAGAAAATTGAAAAAGTATTTTTGATCGGTAGTAAAAATAGTTTTTCTGTTTTTGAAAGAAGCTACGCTTTTGAGAGAAGCTACGAATTCTAGCTTTGCTTCCAAGAAGCAGAAGCAGAAAATTTATTTATCTAAGACAAAAATATTCTTACAATAAATTTATATTTTTCATATTATCTCTTATTAATTTATTTATTTTTCTACCATACCTTTCTTCTCTTTTTTATTTCCATCATTGTTTTTATTCTCTTTCTCCTATTCTCGTTGAAATATTCTCTCTATTATAAATAGATCTCCTCTTTTATATAGTGATTTATAAGAGTAGATTTTTAATTTATATTAAATGATGTATTTTGATATATTAACTTGTAAATAATAAGTAACACCAGGTACGCAAAATTATTGCTTTAGAATAACTATATTTATATTGATTAAAATTTCTAATTTAGATTGTTACTTTGTGTTTTATATTTTCGTTGAATTCCTTTATAATAAATATTTAAGTTTATATCTTTTTTAAATAATTCTAATTGCAAACTTAATCTTTATTGTCTTTTTTATAATTTGATACTTAAAAGTACTTTTTGAAAATATTGGCCAAATAGAATTGACTTACAAATAACACTTTTCAAATTAATTGGCCAAATACAAAATGCTATTTTAAAATTACTTATGTTCAAAACTACTTTTAAACAAAAGTACTTTTCAAAATAAATATTTTTTGTCCGTTTGGCCAAATAGACTCTAGTTAGTGTTAGCATTATTCAGTCGCAAAATTATTTAAGAAACCTCGCATTGGATAGCTCCGCTCGGTGTTTAGTAGGTATGCTTAAAATGTTATTTAGAAAACATTAAAGTTCGAACAAATACAACAAAAACAGAACATAATCTGCTTAAAAGAATATGAGAAAGAAGACTATCCATTTTATAATGAGAAACTTTTAGAAACCATTATGTTTTAGTGGTTATTAGTTAGTTGTAGCTACCCTTTACTATATTACTTCCTATAGCTATGTTTTCAGATTTTTTAGAGTGTATTCGATGTATTTAAGCTACTGTATTCATGAATACAGTAGCATTTCTAGGCGTGAAACAGGGGATTACAGCTAGACAGATTTTTGTATTCGAGTGTATTCGACTGTATTCATGGCATGAAACATGGGATTACAGCTGGACAGATTATTGTATTCGACTGTATTCACGGCGTGAAACAAGGGATTACACTGTTTTTAAACGGAAAGTGAATCAATTAACATAATAGACTCCTAATATAACTCAACAAACTCAATTATAACACTCAAATTTTGTATTTCCAGTTATGAAAAAGATTCTCAACCGAAAAACACCCCAAAAACATAGCAATCTTCAGAGAAATTATATAGTACATCTGAATGCATAAATTATATTAATTAAAAAAAATATATGAATACATTCATGGAATATAGCGAGACAGTGAATATAATGAAATACATAGAATACAGCAGGATACACTGAAATACAATAAAAAAAAGACAATGAATACAATGAAATACATAGAATACAGCGAGATACATTGAAATACAATGGAAAAAATGTCACGACCCAATTTCCAAACCCGGTCGTGATGGCGCCTCTCGTGAAGACAAGGCCAGCCAACTAACCCAAATCGTCTCTTTAACATTTATTAAACATAAACGAATAGGTGAATATAGCTTAACGACAATAGTAACAAGTATGTACAACCCAACACAACCCGACCAGGGTGTCACAAGTCACGAGCATCTAAAGAAACATGAACACAACTACAGGGCCAATGATAATATATAAGGAAAAATCCTGGAAATCAAAAGACAACATCCGGTGCCGCGAACGCTGGCGGTCACCTTACTCAGCTACAATAGCCATACCTTCAATCAGCTAATAACCCGCTACCGGGTGAACAATACCTGCAACTGCACGCGAGGTGCAGGGAGTAAAGTGAGTACTTCCAACT